ACATATTTATGAGTGTTACCTCTTCCTCTTGAAATTTTCCCCTAACCAGTATATAGTGGCCTTATTTATTTCACTTGATCATTGTTGGTTTGAAGTTGAGACTGTCTGAGAATAGGATTGCTATCTCTGCTTTTACTGATGTGCTGGGGCATGTAGTATTGTGTTCCATCCTTTGATTATCAGCCTATGAATGTCTTTATGAGTTAAATGTGTTTCAGGTATACAGCATATTGTTGGATTTTATTTCCTAATCCACTGTGCCAGTCTATTTCTCTTAATTGGTGAGTTGAGTCCATTTACATTGATGGTTAGAATTGAGAAGTATTGACTTATGATTGACATGTTATTTACATGTTGTCGTTTACTCCTTTTTCTCTTGTGTTTAATTGCTTGGCCTATTTAGTGGGTTGCTTCTGATCTCTTTTGTGGAGTTCTGATCATTTTGGTCCCTCTCTAAAACATTTTTCAGTAGCCTGTGTAGGGTTGGCTTTGTCATCATGAAATTCTTCAGTTGTTCTTTGTCATGGAAGTATTTCACTTCTCCATCAAACTTGCAAGAGAGTTTTGCAGGGTATAGTAGTCTGGGCTGGAATTTGTTTTCATAGAGGACTTGAAGTACTCTGGTCCATGCTCTTCGTGCCTTCATGGTTTGTGAAGATAAGTCAGCTGTAATTCTGATGGGTTTTCCTTTGAATGTGGTCTGCTTCTTTTCTCTAGCAGTTTTCCGTATATTATTCTTGTGCTGAATTTCTGGGATCTTGACTATTATATGTCTCGGTGTGTTTTTAATTGGGTTGAGGTTACTTTGTGTTCTGTATGCTTCGGTTACCTGAATGTCAGATTCATATGTGGGAAATTTTCTGCTATTACTTCTGCCCATAATTTTTTAATGTCATTTGTATTGCCTCCTTCTTTTTTATTGATTCCTCTTAGTCTTACATTGTTCATCTTTGCATCATCTTGCAAGTGATGGATTATTTCTTCCTGCATCCTAGTTGTTTTTAAGAGATCCTTTCTTACCTTTTCACTAGCTGCACCAGCATCTTCAAGATCTGAAACTCTGTCTTCACTTTCACTTGAACGG